TTAGCTATCAAGTTTATCTTGGATAGCCTTTTTTTTGCCATGTGATAAATATTGTATATTGCCACATATAGCTCTTTTTGCATACGTTGATTATCTAAGACTTATAGTCTTAGTTACTTTTGTTGCTAAGTTGCTTGTATTTATAAATTGTAAACCCACAATGACTTTTAAAAATAGTTAATCACTGTTGGTATGGAAGAATTTTATTAAGAAATGTCACGTTATGGGTTTAGGGTTAAAGTTGATGTTCTGGACTTCGTAAAGTCCAAGACCCAATTATTGTAAAATACTATTAGGTATGGTTAACATTTCTAACGAATCAAATTTCTTTTTATAACCATGGTAGCCTTTTTCAAAAATTATACCAAGATTCTTTTTTACTATGGTTAGTATTATTAAATTTTGGATAGTAAAAAGGTTAGTAACAAGTTGGAGATAACTGCTCTTACATCCTAGTTATTACAAAAAGTAGTTTCATAGCATATTATTTAGTAATAACAAAATTAAAGCCAAGTTACCATTTTAATATAAAGTTACATTAGATTATTTAGAGGGACATAAATAATTAGTTAATTAATATAATATATTAACTTGTTGGGCATGAAAGCCTGCCCTGCCCTGTCTGGCCTGAACTTAATAGGGCTTTTTATGGGTAAGGCCAGGCAACAGGCTTCATTTTTCAGTCTGTTCATTCTTCGGGTTGGGTATCGGGTAAGGGTCCTGCTCTTCTCAACCCTGTCCATGTGCAGTCCTAGCATCTGGTGCGCATATGAAAGCAGAAAAAATCGTCATCCTCAGATAAGACGACTTAAAGACCACAAGCCAACTCATGTTGGATTTTTTCAAATTCAGAAATTAATTCAAGCATTAATATTTTGGTTTATATATGTACTACTTTCGGTTCTTAATATAAAATCTCGTTTAATTTTTATTTTGATTTTAAATATAAAACCTCAATCCACTTTGTCTCTTATATTTATGTATTTTTTCTCCAAAATAGTCTTTCTAATAATAGTAGTTATTGCCAATACACTTGATTAGCAAGAATATTTTAATAAAGACAACACTTATCTATTATAGATAATTAACTCAACTTATTTTCTTATTTTTCTTAAATTAGTCAGCTAGCTCTTATAATTAGGAGCGAAGCTAGTATATATGAAGAATTATAAATTAAACTTTGATCTTAATTATGAGGTGATTTAATGAAGCAAGGCAGAACAATATAATATTGGAGGGATCCCGAAGCAGCAAATTAAAACCGATAAATATTTTTGGTTTAATTTAAGTAAATTAATCAACCCAAAATCATTATGAATTCAACTTTGATCTTACCTGTATGCATCTTCCTTGCCAATTTTCAATGAATTGCTTCTCATCACCGAATCATATATAACAAAATAATGAGAACTTTATCTGGTTAGTTCTCAGTACATACGCAAATCCAATTCAAGTTTACTCAACTTTCAAACAAAAAACTAATTTTATAATGATGTTATTATCGTAGTACGCTATGTATTCGTCATGGAATTAATATAATCCACTTGATTTTTTTAAAAAGAAAAACAGCTTAAATTTCATCTATAAATACAAATTTATAAATAAGCTTTGCTATAATTTCTAGGAGAGTTCAATGAATGTCGCATAGCGGAACGGCTTTATTCGCAACAATCGCCGGAATTTGCGGCTGGGTCCCCTAATTCTACCATTATTCGCAAGCCACTTGACTATCTTTACAAGTTAAACAGATAGGTCTTTTTATATAAAAAAAAAATTCACTTAAAAAAATTAAAATCTATATGAAATAATGATATTTATGAAGCACGTGACATGTGCAATTATGCATCACTACATTTCAATATGTAATGCAGCAGGGAGATTTATATATGGTCATATATGTGTAATTTTAATGATTTAAAATCCTGAAAAGTAAACAATGTATCTAAAATATTACAATATGCACACACATGTATATATGCTCCTGAGAGGCAACTTAATTAAAAACAATGAATAGAAATATAAAATAACATTCAGTTAGCGAAGGGGGATGAAGAGTTTGGAAATAAAAATATGAAGTTTGTGTAATGCAACTTCCTAGTTTTCCATCTTCAATCCTTCGTATTGCTTAGTTTTAACTTTTCTCATCCCATTGATGGTCTGAACATTTCGATTGACCAAGAATGATATATTTATTGTTTAAAATCTCTTGTAGGAGTGATAAGCAAGGTTAATCAACAACAATTTTTGTGAGGCAATCTCTCTATTTTTTTTTAAGCTAGACACATGTATCCTCAAAGTAATAAAAACAATCTATTTCGAGGTGCTCTTAAGCATTAAATGTGGACACTCTTTCAGCCAGGATTCAAATCTTGGTTCATCATATTGTGAAAAACTAATCTCTTTTACTAGACCCAGTTTTTGTTAGTCTTGTGAGGCATTCTCTGACTTAACACAAACAGTTGAGATACTTTTTGAGTCAGTATAGGAAACGCCACTCTCCTTTCTTGTCGACTTTTCCCAAAATTTTCCCTCACTTCCCACTTTACCTTTCCTTCCTCTTCTATATTAGATAATATTTTCTTGAAAAAAAATATTCATTGTAAATAATAAGAATTAATGTTCTTTAAAATACGAAAAATAAAAAGGCGAATCTCCAAACTACCATTTCTCCCCGACTTCTGTATCATTGATATAGATAATCTAAAATATAAATAATTTAGAAACTGTCAAACTGATGTAGGTTTTTATTTATGAAAAGCGTAAAAAAATATGTTCGCAGTAAATAAGAAAAATTTATCCAAGTGATGCTGTCATTTTGGAACGTGGAATGCTTGAATATAAACAAACAACAGTTTGATTCATCAGTTTTGAACGCAGGCATAAGCCCCGAAAAAGAGCTCTTTTATCATTTCTAACAGTTATAATTTTGAGCGGGGCGGGGCGGGGCTAGAATGATGAACCAGCATTTCGAATTTGTCTTTCACAATAAAGGCTTGTTTGTAGATTCCGCCATCCCTGTCGTACCAACCTACCATTTGTCCCTTTTATTTTCGGTTTCTTCCATTATGAGAACTCCAGGAAATGCTGCACCGCTGGACTGAGCTCCTTATTTTCCAGTAAAATAAGGATTTTGTTGTGCAATAACTGGAAAATGAGAGACGACTTAGCAGGAGAAAACAAATTTCTTTTAATAAAAGATTTTCTATACTGGAAAAGAGCCACTTGTATAAGCTAGCAGTGGGCAAATTCATCGTCAATGTTTTGATGACCATACTTACCTCACCACTTCGCATGCTCCCTCACTCACATCCACAGCTTCGTATTAAAGTGATGTTATGGCCCAGCTCGAGCACTGTCAATTTCATGGCTCTCTATCTCCAAAGTTACCCATAAATAAATATTTTTAAATAACCAGCAAGCACACAGTATCAAAACAAGTAATACTCCTTCGATCCTAAATATAAGACATCTATATATACTACAAAATGGGTCTTATATTTAGGACCCGAAGAATAATTCATAAGCCCCTTGGCTATTTCTTCAAAAATTGCATGATATAATGGTGAGTAAAGGTGCACACCACACCTTGAAATATTTTTAGAGGTACATCTAACATCCTAAAATATCAAGGGAGCAATTTTGCTCCTAACATAATAAAAAGGGATAATTAATCTCCAGGTCCTTATAATTTCATCTGATTTTTAATTAGGTCCTTATAAAATTTTTTCTTTTTATCAGATCTTTTTTACTTTCTTGTGTTTTTAATTAGGTCTTTCTATTTTTTTTCTTTTTATCAGGTCCTTATAGTTTCACTTATTTTTTAATTACGTGTTTTGTAGTTTTTAAAAAATTATTTATTAACTTTATTCTTTAAAATTAATTTCATTTTTAAATTAATAATTATATAATTGGACAAAATAATTAATATAATCATTTAGTAATTAATAAATAATCAGAATAATAATTATACCTAAATATAAATTATTTATAATCATATTTTAATTTAATTTATTATTTTTAATTATAAAATTCGAATTGAAAATAAATAATATATAACTAAAAATTTAAAAGAATAAACAAAGATTGTTACAATAATTTATTATTTTTAAAATGCTAATTTATAAAATAAAGAATAAAAAATAGAACTAATTAAAAACAAAGTAAAAAAAAGGATCTGATAAAAAGGGATTGATTAAAAATACATGAAAGTATAAGGACCTGATAAAAAGAAAAAAAATTATAGGGACCTGATTAAAAACCAGTTGAAACTATAAGGACTTATATATTAATTATCCCTAATAAAAATAAAGCAATCTCTTCGTTACCCTAACAGACTTTTTAACTCCTTATATCTTGGTGATAATTAGGCATTTTATTTATTTTATAAATAGTAACACATAGTGTTTGAAATTGCCACATATGTATCAAAGATGAAATTTGTGACTGTGTCTGCGAAGAGGCTGGCGGGATAAATCAGTGACAGAGACAATGATGCGCAAAAGATGAAATTTAATCTCAGCCTCTACCTCAATGTATACATCCCACAGATATTCTATTTGAAAATGGCAATTCATTGTTGCAAAGGTTTTGGCAAATTTAATAAACATAATGAATAAAAGTAATTCTATAAAAAAAAATTGCAAAATGGAGAGCTCTGCAGAAATGGCCGCCATAGCAGCACAAAATCCAGCTGATATTGCCCACGCGTAGCCTTTCCTCTTCATACAATCCATCTCCCTTGGCTTTTTCTGTGAAACTGGAGGTAGCGATAGGCATACAAGACCAGAAAGCACCGGTTTCAAATCCTCGAAATGATTGCTCTGTTATTATTTCAATATGTAGTATAGAGAGAGGGTCATTTACAGTTTATCCCTAACTTGGCGTTTGACCTTCACATCCATCTGTCTCTTCCTCTATAAAAATGCACTCAATCCTCATCAGACTTCATTATTCACTTACATCAAATTAAATCCTTTACCATTAATCTCTCCAGCATCAGTATGAGTTCTTCGTCTCATCAGCCCCCTGATACTCCAAGACCTTCCGGGACTCCAATTCCTGGCCCCCAAACTATTCTCGCCACCGCAACTCCACGTCCTCCTGCACGTACCCCTAACACTCCAAGACCTTCCGGGACTCGAATTCCTAGCCCCCAATCTATTTTCGCCACCGCAACTCCACGTCCTCCTGCACATCCCACCAACACTCCAAGACCTTCCGGGACTCGAATTCCTGGCCCCCAATCTATTTTCGCCACCGCAACTCCACGTCCTCCTGCACATCCCACCAACACTCCAAGACCTTCCGGGACTCGAATTCCTGGCCCCCAATCTATTTTCGCCACCGCAACTCCACGTCCTCCTGCACATCCCCCTAACACTCCAAGACCTTCCGGGACTCCAATTCCTGGCCCCCAGTCTATTTTCGCCACCGCAACTCCATGTCCTCCTACACATCCCCCTAACACTCCAAGACCTTCCGGGACTCGAATTCCTGGCCCCCAATCTATTTTCTCCACCGCAACTCCACGTCCTCCTGCACATCCCCCGAACCCTCCGACACCTTCAGGGACCCGAATCCCGGCCACACAGGATATCTTCTCCCCAAGGCCAGCTCCTTCGTGAATCTCATTTCATTATCAGGTATAATTCATATCTAGCTACTCCTTTCTTGATAGCATTGTCTTCTATTATGAAGATTTTCACATGTTCGCTTTCTATATGTTCTCAATCGTCAATACTGAAAGTTTAGCCTCTTAAAGAAAATAAGTGCTTGCTGCTCCTGCTCTCATTGTTGGAGAGAAGGCTTGTTAGTGCAGAAATGGCAGTCTGGACTGGTACTTTTTCTGGTCATCTTTAGAGTGATCTGTCAATCAACAGAAGAATTCACGTACTGATGTGGTTGTAGACATCTGCTTTGGTTATTAGGACATTATATTGCAGTCTTGTTCTTTTTAGCTTTATTGCTCTGTTAGTACCAAGAACTACATCGAGCCTTCCTCTTTCATTACCTTCCTCTTGGTCGCCCAGAATTCATACTACGCCTCCGGATTTGGTGGTTCAAAGAATTATATGGTTGTTAACCATACAAGTCTAGTTGATGTTTACATATGCGCAGCTCAGCCCCTTATTCTATTGTCTTATGTCTTCTCTTTCCTGCGAGCTGAATGGATACTGATTCTCGCTCTTTTGATAGATAGAAGGGTGCGCTTTCCCTTGGAGTGAGTAGATCTTCCTGTGGGCTTTACTCAGATGTAAGTTTAGTTATGGTTCTGCCTTCTTCTGGTAACCCTTGCTGTGATTTCTAAGCCAGCATTAGCACTCCACTCAATTATGTGCAAGTGCTATAGGGGAGGAGGAGCTGAAGCTCACGCGGGTGGGTGTGGAAGAGGAGGTGGTGGTGCTGGAGCTGGAGGGTACGGTGATGGATGGCGCTGCAGGAGTTTTGGTGCAGAAAGCGGTAGAAGAGGCGGGGCTGGTGGCGGCAGAGAAAATGGAGGAGGATATGGAGGTGGCGGAGGAGCTGGTGCAGCTGGTGGGGCACATGGAGGTGCCATGGCAGTGGAGGAAGAGCCGGCAGAGGATCTGCTGGAGGTGGCGGTGACGGTGGCGGTGGGCATGGTGATGAGTATGGAGCTGGTGGCGGAAGAGGTGAAGGAGGTGGCTATAGTGGATATTATCCCTGAGCTGCTTACATTTCATTACAGCTAAAAAGATCTAGTTCCTCTCTTAGTCTTAATGATAATTAACTAAGAAAGATGAAACACACACACACACATATAGGTATACATGTATGTGTGTATATATGTGTGCGTAGTGTATATGAGAGAAATTAAATTTACAATAAGAAAATGGGTATAAAGTTCAACCTTTCTTCCTATCTAAAGCTTTTTGGCCTCAAGATAATGGTGCTCTGCGTATACGATACTGTGCGTAATCGTCTTACTATACTCAAATCCTAATTACTTCAAACATCCACTTAAGAAAAAGTATGGCAATCCTTTTGTTAGTTTCTATGCATACGATGGATATTATGTTGTGCGGAATCTTCTTATTGTTCATCTTTTTCATATATTCTGCTCATTAATTAATTTCCAATTTCTTTTTATGCAGAGTGTGGTGGTCAAGTCAAGGGAGAATAATATGGCTTCATAAAACAACAGCGCAATAGGTCAATAATATCTCTTTTTAAATTGCGTGGGCCCCCCCCTTATCTTCCATTGAATTAAATAGATTGAGCAAGTTTTAATTTGCATGTGGTTACGTACGTTCTTTACATTGGACTACGTTTGCGCTTTAATTTTATACATATGACTGGATATGGGGCCCCCTTATGTTCCATTGAATCAAATAGATTGAGCAAGCTTTAATTTGCATGTGGCTACGTACGTTCCTTACTTTAATTTTTGCACTTAAACTTTTATAGTTTTTTTAGCGCCTGTGATCTTAGATATTTGATATTTCTATGGGGACACAACTGAATATCGCCGAATCGTAATTACGTAATAATTATCTATCCATCATCGCATACATATTAAACATGTACAAGAGGCTATAGCCTTCTCTGTTCTCATCGAAATTTCCGCTTTGAAATTAAAGGTCAGAATTAAAACACTCAATTAAATGAAAAACTCATATTTATTACCCGCAGGCGGAGTATGCATATTCTGAATCAACCAATATTAATATATACATATAATCCGTTAATAATAAAATGCATTATTTGCCTTTAAAAAAAAATCCATAGAATCCACAGGGCACTGCTTTTGTCATTTTTTATTGAAGCAAATGGCTGGCTTTGCTAATCTACTTTGGTTTCATGCTCAATTTTTTCCATCGGTAAAAAGTCAATGCTATTTAAAACATTCTAAGTATTAAAATGCATACCTGAACCTGAACAAAAGAAAAGATTACAACCTTAAATTTACCTATTCCCATCTGCTTTAAATACCGTCCCCGGAAAATCAGTTAGTTAAATGAAACTCACAGCATTTTCCTAGTTTGTTTTCACCTTCACAATGTTGTTAAAAACTACCACTATTATTTATCACTTATAGGAAAGAATTTTGGTCCTTTTTATTTGTCACTTGTACCTTTTTAATATTTCATTTTCAATTTCGCCCCTATTGATTATAAAGGTGAAGAGGAGAGGGATGAGTAAGAGAAAATATGCTAGCTATTTAATAAGGGCAAAAGTAGAAGATTTCGTAATAAAGACCAGAGTGGTAATTAACATACAAGTTCTATAATAATTCCCTGTAAATTCTGTTAATTAACATTCACGAAAATTCATAACCCCATCTATTCATGGTTTATTAAACTTCATGGAAGCCATATCCATCCCATAAATTAGAAGAAATCAATTTCCGCAGTGCAATCAATTTAAATAAATATTATTAAGCTAAAAAATCACTTAACTTTATAATATATAGAGTAAAAATCATTAATATTGCTAGAAAATAGCAACCTACTTTCTGCAGGACTGTCAATATATATTTTAATTTACTCATCTATGTTACTATATAATTGATACTTTGACATGTTCTGTCAGAAGTATTGATATTTTAAGTTCAAAATAAAATCACTTTTCTGCCAGTAAGAAGTGTCGTCGAAAGCAAAAGCTCAATATAAACATTGTGCTGTCAAGGCCAGAGCTGCTAATTAGCCCCAGTTATACTCCCCTTCGATGATGATGATGATGATGATGGTACTGATTAGTTTTTTCGCTCGATTATGATTCATGGAGAAATATCCTATGCCTAAAAAAAAAAAGAGTATGAAGAAATATCAAAATAAGTCTTTTTTTTTGGCAGTCGATCATATTTTCTATACATACATTCAGCGACTAGCGGCCAGCATTATACAGTGCAAAAGAAAAGTGTGCTGTGCATCACCAACAAAAAGCTCGTTGAGAGATGGTTAGCAGTCTTGAGGGGAACATAAATTTAAATCTCGGGGAGAACATTTAATTGTTTGGAGAGCTTTAATCTTAATTAACTCTTCCGACCCGGGTTTGCTAGATATAACTAAGCTCTTTGTACCTGATGATCGTGTAATGTTCAAAGTTCTTGTATGTAGATGCTTATTAGCTTCTTGTTCTCTAAGGTTATGTTCATTTCTTACGGTTAATAGGGCTCGTTATGTGCCTCAAAATCCATTTATCATCGCGGCGAAGACCGTTAGTGCTGAAGATAATATGTGTTTGATTATAGCAAGCATCCAATCCTGATTTAAGGTTGAGAGGTTACAATACACAAAATAAATTTCTCAAAATTTGATGGCACGTTAAAGAAGCCAAAATTAATTTATCCTTTATCTAAACAACTAAATGGCACATAAAATAAATCATACATGAAAAAAGGTAAATGAGAAAAGGCATCTCAAAATAATACTAGCTAGTAGCTATGACTTTTTAAAAAAAGAATTTTACAACTAGTGTGACCAAATAAAGATTCACGCAGCGATGAGCTCGACATATGTCAAATGGAAAACAATAATTGAACTTATGAAATAGTGCAATTTACTAAATTTTTTTGGTTTTGTGTACGGATACATTGATGATATGAATGATGTATTGTTGGGATCGCCTTGCACTATTCATTATATGTACTACTTAAGGACTAAGAACACATAAAAATGTAAATTTATGCTTCATTTGTAATTATTTCTGAATATTTTTTTTATTTTTGGAATATATATATGACAGTGAAGGAGAGGAGACAAAGAAGGCTGGAATTGGCCGACGGACAAAGCAGAATATATAACAGTGATGCTTGTTTTGCTCCTGTAGTTGATAATGATTGCTCAAATAGTTAAATTACTCACAATAATGCCTCCAAATTCCATCTACTTTTTTCATATAGCCTTTTCTTTTTGTTTGCTATTTTGCCATCAAATTTTGCATCGCTGCCTTTTCAAATATTGCCTCGCCCTAATAACTTTTTATTAGTTTTCCGTGGGGGCAAAAGATGAGAACTTTTATCAGTCAAGTTGATTGAGTTGATGACAGCTACACGTTCACATACACGTGTCAAGGAAGTCCTGGTCTTTAGGTTCTTGCGATTACGGGATCGTTTGTTTTTTTTTTTTCCTTATTCTCAAAACAATTTTATAAAATTGTTTCTTAGAATAAGTTTTGAAAACAAAAAGTAAAGAATTTATTTGGATAATAATTTTAGAAAAATCATGTTTTAAAAAAATAATAAAAAATCACACTTGATATGTGATAGTTTTGTTAGTAATAATAAGTGGTGAATAATAAGTGAGAAGAGTAGAAGATTTCTCAAAATTTTTCAAAATAAAAAATAAAAAATAGAAAAACAAAAACAAGAAAATATGTAAAAGTTGTTTTGGTTTTTTAGTTTTTGAAAACATGTTACTGTTTTTTGTTTTTTTTTAAAACAAACAACTCAAAACAAATTACTAAATAAATTTTTTGTTTTTAAAAATAAAAAATTATCCCAGAAGCTAAAAGATCTTTATCAAACTCACTCATATTTGAAGAATGTTAAAAAAAAAAAAAGATACCGCGTTTAAATGTGTAAGTATAGAAGTAGATAAATGGCCAAAAAAAAAAGGTATTGAAGTAGATAGTTCCAAAAAAGTTATATATATTTATAGCGTTAGAGAAGGGGTGTAAACGCAACACGTTTTATATGCAAAATTCTAATGTTTATATCATTGAATGTGGTATCTACAATTATGTCAAAATCCCTTCACATGTATGCATGAAATCCTGATTTAAGGTTGAGAGGTCACAATACATTAAATAAATTTCTCAAAATAATTTTTCCTGTATTTAAACATCTAAATGGCACATAAAGTAAATCATACGTAGAACAGATTGCTAAGTAAATAAATAAAGATAGATGAGAAAAGGCAACTCAAACTTAGCCCAAATCATTTCTTGGATATGGAACAAAATGGCCCAAATAACATGAACCCAACAGAGCCCCAATAGTGATTTTCCAGAAATGACATATTTGCTTCCGCCCAAAAATGGAGAATGATAGGCCCAGAACAGTGGCAAAAATGCCCCGAAACAGGAATCCGAAGGTCCAAACTGGAAGGTAGAGCCTGAAACGCCATTCTGAAGGGCATATTATTTTATTTTTATTGCTGTCAACGTAAATGGCTCGAAAGCAGAAAAGCCCGATTCTGGAAAGAAAATTAAAACCAGAAAACAAAAAAACTCCAAGATCCGTCTGGTACAAAGTATTAAAAATAAAAAATATATTGTATCAAAAAAAAAAATAGAATGGGATTGCAATTAAAAAAAATTATTAAAACGGTATTTGCCATTAGTAATTACTTGTTACATAGAATTAGGCCAACACATGAAAGTGGGATTGGGTAATACCACCACCTCCTATGACATTCCCCTAGTGGTATTCCCTGATCCCACATATATGTGTTTGTCTAGTCCTATATAATAAGTAATTTCTTATATTAAGCTTTTTTTTAATTTCAATCCTAATTCCTGCCTCTTATTTTCAATGTTTCTTTGCAAACGAAAGTCCAAATTAATGAATATGATAGACTGCCATTGCCCTGATTAGTGGTAGTTTGCTTGGCAGCTTGTGCTCTTCCAGTCTTGGGTCCAAGCTTAATAGGATCAAATATTCTTGTGCGCATGTATTAGTTTATTACGATAAGCTGCGCTATCCTTCGTTAACATTTTTTAGAATTGCGCACAATCAAACGCATGTATT